GTGTCCCTCTTCCAAACTGAAATAATCTGCAACTTAGGGACAATGGGTCTCATTTACTCTAAGAACCTTTGCTGCTGAATGAATATTTTTACAACTACCCTCATAAACTCCCTCCCCTTGTCTGCTGTCCAGGGAGGGGGCGGAGCTCCCAGAGGTGAGCTGAGGTGCCTGCACTGTCTCAGAGGCCCCCATTAAGTTGTTAAGGCATTTAGTGCCCCAGACAGGCCCGAATGCAAGGGCAGTTCAAATCTCCACACATGTGGGGATGAGCTGTGGAAGAGGGGGCTTCAATTTCTTCCCACAGAATCCCCCTGGGGGAACAGTTGGGGAGGAAATAGTAAACTAGCCAGGCTGGGGATCCTTACCATCTCTTTGGCCATATTCTCCCACAGCCCCTGTCATTCAAAGCAAAGAGAGATGGGCGGCATATAACAGCTCAACACCTGCCTCCACCACTTACTAACTCTCTGAACTTGGGGAATTACACCCTAATCATCTTACTTCCCTTGAGTGCGAAATAGGGATACCAGTGCAGATGGTCTCTGCCCTGCAAGGCTGTGGGAAGCTTAAATAAGATGATGCATGTAGGTGCTCAGCCAGGGCTTGGTACCCAGGAAGCACTCAATCAACACTAGCTGATGGAATTCTTTACCATCTTGCCATTGGGTACTTTTGAGGTTTCCCTGGGTCTTGTATATTTCTGTGTTAGAGAGAACAATAGCATCCTCACAGGCAACCTGGCCCAGAGTCAGGGTTGTCTAAGACCCAAGGTCAGATTCCTGCAGGTCACTTGAGAGGAGGTATGAAGGAGGACGAGGGGAGGCAGGCACTGTTTTGCAAGTTCTGATTTCAAGTCAGGGAAGTCAAGTTGGTTGGGTTGGGAATGGGACAAATAGAGGTCAAAGGGAGGGAGAAGCAGCTGCAGAAACACAGTCTCCTTTAAGGGAAAGAGGCTGAGGTTCAGGATACCTCAGAGCTACCCTGGAGAGGTTCTGTCTTTTCCCTGTGCCTCATTTTCTTTCCAGGAGAATGGGCCCCCACCTCTCTACCCAAAGGTGAGGACAGGATGTATGGGTGAGTGAAGGACGATGATTTGTCCCACCCTTGTCTCCTTGAGGCAGTGGCCAGGTGACTTATCTGGGGACTGGAGCGAAATGTACAGTGAGCAAGGACACCCCAGATCATGCAGCAGATATTGCGGTTTGGGCCAAGGCTAGCCCAGCCTCCATCCCACTCCAACTTCCTCCTCCTCCTCCTCCTTCTCCTCAAGCCAATCAATACCAGCACCAGTCTCCAACCAGTCCTTTTTCTTGCCGCCGCCCTGCCCTCTGACCTTTTAGGGGCCTTTCTCTTGATTCAGCTCCAGAATGGAGGTAGAGGCCATCACTCCGAGCCTGCTCAATGGCCTCAGAATAGGCTGTCATGGGGCCTATAACCAGGGACAGCTCCTGCTGGCGAGAGCTGGGATGAGGGGGGAGCAGATAAAGGCCTTCCAGGCTCAAGATAAATGGCTGCCTGCAGCCGGCTACAGTAACTTCAGGCCCCCAAGAAGAGTAGACAAAGGGTGCCCCTGTGACACTCCCTGGAAAGATGAAGGCCCATCAGAAGCAGCCAGGCTGGTTCAAAGCCCCAGCTTAATTGTCAATTAAGCATGCATAAGGGAGACAAAGCCATGACAACCCCTGGCTGCATGCTGGTGTGCGATTGTAAAGCCGAGGAGRGCCAACGCTGAAAACAGCTGATTCTGCTGACAATGTGTTTGTAGGGCACCTTGTAACCAATCAGCCGCTGACAGAGGCAAAGTGCTCCTCCTGCCACCCCTATTGTGCCGGACATTCCAGGACCAGGGTCACACTGTGGTCATCTTGGGCAAGTGGGCCACAAGGCAGTAAGCGTGGCTGGGAGAGAAGGACTCAGTAAGGGAAAGGATGCTCTGCCTCCCTAGGGAAAAGGTTTGTCTCCCAGCTCAGGTGCTGGTGTTTGCAGAGGAGACAGGGTGGGGAGTCGGGGGTATRAGACTGGGGGACTTAGAGGTTGCTAACACTGACTCTGGGTATGGGTCTTGCCTCAGGATCACAGAGTTCTTTTGGTATTCTGCATTCAGTTTTATGTTTTGGGCTTAGTTAGAGATCACACCTTAGCTGTGGGTACCGCCAAAGCCTTCTCTGAGCACTGGGCTCCAACCTGCTGTCCACCTACCCTGGGCCTATTACCCAGGAGCCCCATCGAAGCTCATGTGCCATCCCGGCAGCCTGAGATGGAGACACAGTGCTCTGATCCTGCACCATAAGCACTAGCATGGCAGCTGCCTCTGCTTCCAGTTCAGGGGCAGGATATATCTCATATATCTCATTATTAGAAATAATGTCCCAGCGTGTGAAAGTAAAAAAAAAACAAAACAAGACAAAACAACAACAACAACAACAAAAAAAACACATAGTGTTCTGCTGCCTGGCATTCTTTCTACGACTGCTTATTTAACCTAATAGGAGTGATGATAAAAATTGTGTGGTCTTTTGGGGAAGGTGGCGTTCACACACTTGAAAACATTTAATCCTCATGCGGACTGTGAAGTACTACTTCGCTATTTTAAAGAGAGGAAACTCAGAGAAGTTACGTGAATTAGCCACATTCATAACCTGAGATTCAAAATTATACCTACAGAATCCAGTCCCTGGACTGGGGAAAATGACTCCTGTGATAAGCCCCTAATTATGGCAGAGGAGAAGCAGCCATTGAAAATAGGAACAAAGTCCCAAAAATGTTGCTCCAGAAATAGCTGGAGGCTAGGTAGGGTTGCACAAGCCTATAATCCCAGCGGTTTGGGAGGTTGAGGCAGGAGGACTGTGAGTTCAAAGCCAGCCTCAGCAAAAGCAAGGTGCTAAGCAACTCAGTGAGACCCTGTCTCTAAATAAAATACAAAATAGGGCTGGGGAGGTGGCTCAGTGGTTGAGTGCCCCTGAATTCAATCCATGGTATCCAAAAGAAAGGAAAATAAAATAAATAGCAGTAGGATTTTTCCCTCCCTAGAATGAACCAGGAAGCCACCAAAGATAACACTGATCCCCAGCTGGTTGTGGGGGTGCCATGCTGGTGTGATCTCTTTCCTATGAACAAGTTCTGAGAGGGCAGGGCTGTGAGTTCCATGTGGGGACATGGTAACGTGTGTGTTAAGGGGAAAGTATAGCATGAGGGTCCACAGACCTGAGATCCAGTCCTTGTTTGCTCTCATTGCTTGGTGGCTTGTCAAATCACTACCTCTTTCTGGGCCTCGGTTTCTCTCTTTTAAGACCCTCTTGTTTCTATCATTCCATGACTTATATAAAAGGTCCAGACTTCTGGGACATCCCAGAGAATCAGATTCTCATCCATGAGGTATCCAGGCTGTGTTTCCTGCGCACCTCCATCCCCCCATTCTGTTTCCAGTACCTGCTCCCTGTCCCTGCAGCCCTAGTTCTCCGTATCTCTCCTCAGGATACAGAAAGCCTAAGCTAACGACCCTATGGTGACCTCAGCACAACCCCAGCTTGTCAAAAAGCTGCTGGCCTTTGTTTGGCTTGCAGGCTCCCTGACTTTGGTGTGGAGATCACAGGTCCCAGCACAATGGCCATTGTCTTCTCAACAATGCTCCTCGCCCCAGCCACGCCCCCTGCAGCTCCCAGGCAGCCCTGTGGATCACCACAGTGGGCAAATACTCCCATCCCTCTCCAGGCAGGCCACACGCCATCTACCTGCCCTTTGAACCCTGCTTTAAACTGCCTTAAAGAGGCTAAGTTTCTTTGCCATGAGGCTAGCGTTTTCCTGAGGGCTTCCCTGCCTCTCAAGAATAACCCACTTTCTTCTTCTGTATACCCGAGCCCTTCCTTTCTGTGGAAGCAGGAGCCAGAGAAACTCCAGATGAGGCTCCTATTTCACGGTGGGAACTGTCAGGTTCCCAGAGACCACTGAAGAGTCCATGCTACGGGTGTGGCATGCTCAGAACAAATGTTTGCATACTGCATATACTGCCCAGGGGGTGACTCTGAACCTGTCCCGGTGATGTGGTCACCCCAACACTTGGGTCAGATCTCAGTTCTTAGGCCTTTCCCATCAGAAGAGCAACTAGCAAGCAAGAGAAGGAACAGATTTCAGAACCACCTGAGTTACAATCAGTTGCTGGCTTCCCTTCACAAGCCTTCACCAAGAGTAGGAGGTTGTGCCACACTTGGTCAACATGCGTACCAAACAGACCCAAATAAGCACATCAGTTCTGGGAAGCCAGCTTTCCTGGAATAATTAAGGTGAAGAAGTGCTGGACCCCCAGCTTGTGTCCAAGATAGCACTCACAGTATAGGGGTGCTTACCATAGGGAGGCTGTAAGGTTCCATTCTGACAAATCCAAACCCCACAGCACGGACATCCTAATCCAGGCCTCGGCCTRGCACACGGTAGGAAGTCTGCCAGTTTTGGCCAACTCATCACTGAACAGATTTCAATTGACTGATCTTGCCCTAACCACGATGGAGAGTAAAAGCCTATAAGCAGAGGCTGCCACTAACAGATCCTTCCCTAAAGGCCACTGGGYTTCTCCTGCTGGAGCTAGAGAGAGTTCCAGTGTAGGGCATGACCGGAGACGGCAGAGGGTATCTAGGACGCCATTCTCCATCACAGGGATTGGTGATGCACGTCTGCAAATCCTCTGCCTGCAGCCTGGACCTGATACCAACAATACAGCCTTTGGGGGGCAGAATCTGACCAGCTGAGTCAGCGGCCACACAGGGAGAAGAATCGAGCAAAGGACTCCCTGGAAACCAAGCTATCCCTTACACCCAAAGCTTGATAAGGGTTTGGAAGAAATCCAATCAGAGCCATATACCCTTTCACAAGAATATTCTGGCAATGGGAGTCCAAAGGCCATCCTCAAATTTTACTTCTTGGGAAAAAAATCTTGAACCAGATAAGACCAGTGGGGAGGACCAGGATGGTGAGGTCCAGTGCAGTGAGGCCCAAACCCTGCTTACCTGGCAGCTTGTTTGGAGGAGACGTGCTGGGCTGGTGGTGGGGGGAGCTGTGCGTGAGCAGGGGGTTCAGGCTGTGCGTCTGGTTGGAGCTATAGGCATCCATGGCCAGCTTCTGCCGGAATGCCTCCTCCTTCCTACGGTTTGCAAACCAGTTGTAGACACGGACCTCAGTGACCAAGTTGGAGCCCAGGCCATGGGCTTTAGAGGGGGATACGCCTCGCTGCAAACATTCTGCCCTGGAATGGACAGAGTGGGGATGGTGAGAATGGCAGGGGGTGGGAGGAAGGAGAGTTCCTAGTGTTTGCCAGACATACAACTGTAGGAGTCTTGGTTAGGAGTGTGCAGAGGTGGATGGCTGAATGGGGAGCTGGGAAAACCCTGTCCTGAAAAAAGGTCGATCCATGTAGTTATCTGATAGGATGACCAGGGGGAGGCCTTAGCACACACAGAGTAGGCTGTGCTGCCCCGGAAGGCAGGGGCTTGGGTCTCTGGTGTGGCTCCTAATGAGAAGAGAGCTAGTTCAGGGAGGGGGCCATGTAAGGTTTCCTGACACCTCCTTGTTCTGCCATTCTTCCCATGACACAAAAGGCAAAGTCCCTTGGTGGCCTTGACTAAGTCTCTTCATAGAACTAGGAGAGAACTTCTGGGCTTTTAGGGTTTGGACACCCCAAAAGGGTGTCAGGAAAGTCAGATTCCTTATTCATACCCAAGAACTTCCTGCAGAGGGAAGATTGGGTGGGATATAAAGGAGGGCAGCTGGAGATGGCCAGTCTCTAGTTTTATTAGTGACGATTAAACCCCAAACCCAGGTGTGAGTAATATTTTTATATACCACTAGATGCGGGGAGAATTCTCAGCAGCACACCTGAGGAACCAGTGGCATGCACAGGTCCATTTCTCTGCCTCCCTGCTTCAAGCCTGGGCTTCCTGGCCTCATTCTACCATTGCCAAAGCCAACCCAGCCCAGGGACAAAGAAAGGGTCCACAGGCCCTGGCCAGAGTCAAGAGAAGGTTTTTTAGAAAGTCAGTACTGGAGCCAGGTAGACTAGGGCAGGGATKAAACAAAAAGATATTCCAGGGATTTCCAAAAGTTCTTTCTTAAAAATACACATAGTTATTAAAACACAAAAAAGAACTCTATTAGCGTCAATGTGGGCAGAGTGGAAAGAACACGTCCGACTCATTCTTAGGCTCTGGTCAAGTTTCCTTTTGGACCAATGGGTATACAACAATTGGTAGAGGCCAGAGCCAGAATCTGTGGCTCAGATATAATTTTGCCCTGGCCTGTAAAAAGGTCAAAGAAACAATTTTTTTTTCACTTCACTGGCTGGCATCATATTTTATACCAAAATTCTCCAGAGTATCTTCTAGAATAAGAATTGATGGGAGTGTTGGACAGTATTCCATAGAAGAAAGATGCCACGGTTAACCACCAATGACACTCCATGGGTTTCTTGGCTGGAGGACTTCTCAGAGCTATTCATCTATGAACATATGTTGTGACTCTCTAAGTATCCAGATGATGTTTCTCAAACTTATTTCTCAATACATTGAAATGGGGGTTCTGGGAAATCCCTCTTAGCCACACTTCTCTGGACCATCAGGGTCTCCATATCCCRGGACTGAGGGCATGGATCTTGGGTCCACAGGTGGGCTTCTGGTGGGGTTACCTGTTGCACTCCTCCACTAAGGCCTCCCTCTCTTCCTTGCTGGGGTTCTTTTGCCGGTCGTAGGCCTGGTACAAGATTTGCTGGGACGCGGGCCCCCATTTGAACCGGTTGCGTCGCATCTTCTTGTTGGTGGGCTCAGAGCAGGCGTCGTCGGACTGCCCAGGCCCCTGGCTCTGTTGACTGAACTCTGGAAAGAGAAACAGCAGCTGATCCTGACTGCTTTTGTCTGTCATATTTCCAGAGCTCTGGACTGTCTGGTTGAACTCTGAAAAGAGAAAGGAGTAGATTTGATAGGGCCGGTAGCCTTCACCCAGCAGACAGACAGACGGACGGACAGACAGACGGACGGACAAAGACCCCATAATTCCTCTCCCTTCTGCTTTGCAAGCTGCTGTGACTCCACGTGGGGCTCCTGAGGGGAGGCCTCGAGTCAGGCCGCTCACTGCCCACCTCAGTTGCTCCAGCAAAGCCACTGGGTTCCTTCTTTCCCTGAAGGAGCTCAAACGTAGCCAGCCATGGTTTTGAGATTAATTTTTTTTCCTTTGGTTCCCTGGCCCTCCAACAGGAAGCAACACTCTGCATCCTGAACTCTTGTATATGGATGGCAAGGGGTTGAACCCAGCCCAGTCTCAGGCCCACGGGGAAACTGCTCAAAGGTGCAATTTACACTGACATAACACATTCAGAGACTGCAGATAGCTCTCCCCACTTTTCCTGTCTCCTCACATATCCTAGGCATTTGCATTCTATAAGTTCTGGGAAAAATACCAAGCCCCAAACCTTTTAAATGATGCTTTGAAATAAACATTCCTGGAGCTTTGTATTAAGAAGAGAAGATGCACTTTAGATTTCAAGTGTAATTTCAAAAGCAAGAGTACGTGTGTGCATGTATATGTACATGTGGGTGCCAGGGGTCAATTTAAGACAAACCAAGATGGAAAAGTCTTACAGATTTGCTAATAAATCTAAAAGATGGCAAGTGCAGAGACCAAAACACAGGCCCTTTCTAGGAATGAGGTTCAACGAGTTGGAGAAAGATATACATAGATGGAATGGTGTTCTCTGTCTGCTTCCAGGGCCCAGGCATACATATTTCTGTTGAGTGAATGGAAAAAGATGGCAACTTGGTCCAGATTATGAAATTTTATATTCACTTTATGACAGCTTAAATAAGATTCGATATCTACTTTATTAAAGAGATTTATGGTGTCCTCTTCCTCGCTTCTGCATGCAGCAGAGTTCATCAGGGGYAATTGATTCCTTTTTACAGATGAATAGACATAGAGGCCAAGCACTCTGTTGAGCAAGGACATATAATAAATTCATTTACTAGCTCCTGGTCCCCATGTTCTGGACCTTGATGTTTTTCTTTCTCAATTMCAAGTAACTCCTGCAGGTCTCAGAGCATTGGTGGCCACAACCTCCAGAGCCCTATGATAATGACTCAACGTACCATCATTTCTTTTTTTCAGTACTGGGGAATGAACCTAGAGGCCTTCTGCCATTGAACTACACCCTCAGCCCTTTGTAAATTTTATTTTGAGACAGGATCTCACTAGGTTGCGCTGACCAGCCTTGAACTTGTGGTCCTTCTGTCTCACTCTCCTGAGTTGCTGGGATGACAGGCTTGTGCTACCATACCTGGCTGTGCCATCATTTTAAAATGTACTCTTTCCTGTTCCTCTGGACAACTGGACCCCAGATGCTTAAGGTTCAAAAGTCACTACTTCATAGCTGAACCCCCTCTACTGGGAGGACCCCCTCCCAGTGTGTTCCTTCAGTCCACTTTCCTCCAGCAGTTGTGAGAATCCATTTCCATCACAGGGAAACCAACCTGGACCCAGTATCCCAGACGCAGGTGGGTGGGCCTTGGCTTAAGCAGTAGCCAGATCATGAACTCTCTCCCTGGCAGATGGACTGAACTATCACTGGTGCCTTTGATTTGGGGCTCACCCACTTTTGGATGATTCTCAGGCCTTCTTAGGACGGTTTCCTCTGGTGCTCAACAATGCCTTTAGAGATCTAAAATAGTCTCTGGTAAATTTAGAAGGGAGAAGTCACTGACTCTTTGCGATAATGTGGTGTGCCAGATGAGTTGCTTAACTTCCTGGTCACTCGGCCTCCCCACTTCTGGAATGGGACTGGGCTGAAAGCCAAAGGGGCACTAAACAGTCTTTAAGAACATTAACCCCTGGTCAGGACAACGATGATGACCCAAATTCCTATGGTGGTCATACTTTCCAAAGTGCTTTCACGCTCCTTGTGTTATTTGGTCTTCATGGCGCTCTCTGTGTGCAATTACCTAAGGGATGATCAAAAAGGGGAAAGAGAAGTTGCCTGCATAAGACCAGGGTGTCTACTCCATGTTTTCTCTCCTTTCTGTGGTCTGGCAAAGCACCTGTTGAGTCACTCTTGAGACATTGCCAAAGCCCATGTAGATAATCCCAAGGACCTGGGATCAATGTAAGATTTTTCATTTGAAACGAATAGATGTTGTCATGGTTGACATGTAGTGAGCTATTTCTATGGTGAAGTTTGGTACCACATCTTCTCAATGTATCCTTTCATCCCACCCATTGTCACAGAACTCTCTCTGTGAGAAGTCTTACTCTTTCCATTTTACAGATGAAGAAATTGAGGTTCAGAGTRGGTAAACAACTTGTCCCAAATTACATGGACGAGGGGTAAGAATCAAGATGCAAACTCCGCCTGGAGACTCTAGGGCTTCTAACCACCAGTTTATAAATCACATATGGCTAAAAAGAAAACCTAAATAATACACCCCCAAACTCCTCAAGTCTGACTTCTGTGGAGGTGATAAAACTGACTCCTGAAGCTTTGTCTGTGGTCGGGGGAAACACAGTCTCCCCTAGTGTGGGGGCTGCCTCAGTCACCTGCCCTCAAGAGGCTGCAGCCTGAAYGGTGTTTGGCCCAGAGCATGCCTGGATCAGCTAGGGGGATCTGCCTGCAGGTGCAAGGTCTACTGACCTCAGGGGCTTGAGGAACTAGATTCCCACTAGATTGCCTTCCAGCCACCTCCAATCCTCCACTTCCTTTTGGATTCATTGGGAGGGGGAGGGAGGTAGAAAATGTTCTTTGCCCATAAAATTAACTTAGAGAGGTTGGTTTAAGCAATCTCTTCATAGGCTTGGGGGGTAGTTTAGACAAGGAGACTCTGTGTGCAGACAGACCCATGAATATTACCATTTATTAGTTTTGTTTTTTTATGAAAATCTGTTCTCATGTATCATCTTTTTAAAAAAATTTTCCCTCTCTCTTTCTCTTTCCACTCACTCCGTTCACTTGTGTTCTTCTTTTATTCATCTCCCTTCCTAATTCTGATCCCATGCTATGTGTCTTGTCTTCATCCTACAAGATTTGATTCAAATGTCACCTCCACTAGGAAGCCCTCCATGATGTCTCCAGGTGATTTAGTAATTTCCCTGCTGCCCCCTGTGTACACCTTTATAAAAGCTCTTAGAGAGCAGCTGTCATTATTTACCCAAACACCTCAACTCCCTCAGTGGATTATAAGTCCCTGCAGAAAAGGACCTGTGTGTCCACAGCCTGGCATAGTGTTGGGCACATATTAGGTGTGTGTATGATATTAACAGAGGAAAGGAATGTTTCTTAAGCTTTATGTCTCCTGTGACTTAAAAACAATAACAATGACAACAGAAAGTCCCTTGCAAATACTACCATCATCTTTTGTAAATCATTCCTTCTTGAGCATCTTAAGAATCTGGAACGTCTGCCATTTTAGAAGGTCCAGCCACCCTTTTCCTGCCCCCTTGTCCTTTCTGAAGGGACTCCCAGTGAACACAGAGAGGCAGCAAACCAGAGATGGTGCAGAGGGAGCCCCCAACAGTTCTCGGGCCTCTGGAGACTGTGGCTCCTGAAATTTTTCTTGGACTTTGTAAGAACTATTGAGTTGGTTCATGTCAGGAACACAGATTCTTCCAGAGCTAGTCATCGTGGATGGGGGTCAACCCATAGTTTAAAAGGCCTGCCCTGCCAAGCCACAAAGGGTTCTCAATTGGCTTCTTCCCATCACTCCATGTAATGCTTCCAACCAGAGAGCAAACCACCATGCACATGAGATAAATACCTAGAACCTTTCCTTCCACAGTGAAGGGCTTTCCAGCAGACACTGAGATCACAAAGACGGTCACCATTGCTTCAGAGCAGTGTGTAGCATAAAACAACTAGTGATTTTTCAAAGTGACTATCCAGCAAGGGGGCGGGGGGGGGAATGCCCTACCCAGAAAGCAGTGGAAATAAACATCTTGACAAGGAGATACAGCCATGGCCCAGAGAATGGTGTGCTGCGAGAGATAAGTGACAAAAAAAAATTTTCCTAGGAAGTAGTCCAGGTCAAACTCTATGAAAGTGTGATGTCAAGGTTACTGTCCTAAAATTAAAAGACAATGTGCTATTTGTACCCCTGTTATTCCAACGCAGTGCAAGCTTCCCCAGAATTCAAACCAAAGACCTTCCTTCCAGTATTATTCCATAAAAGAAATCTTGAGACAGAAAGAAAATCTGGGGATAAGGGTGGGAATAACATGAATGGATGGGTCAAAGTTCCAAGCATAGAAACTTTTATTGTGCCCTTCCTCAGTCATAAATATAATCTTCATTAGACAGTCACCAGCTGAGGTCCCCAAACTACTGATGTTTGTAAATGTGCATCAGTACTTTAAATTGCTTCAGGATTCAATCCTACCACTTCCCCTCCTAAAGAACAGGGTCAGGTTCTGCATATATTTATCTACACAAACACCTTTACTTTTAAATACTTTTTCCAGCACGGAGGAAAAGAATAGTTCTTATGAATGATTGGAAGTTATTGACAGCTATGAAATATCTTCTCTGGAAACTCTGGCCTGGGGCCATGTATCAATGGGGGATGCTGGGTGTACTTGGTGGAAGATATTCCACTCTTTTATCATTTGGTGTCAAAGAAAAGGAAATTGGAAAGAAGGACCAAAATATTCAAGGTACATGGCACACGGTAAAGGGCCTGTCAGAGCAACTAGCTGGATGGTAAGGGGCTGGGAGAGATGAAAATGATACAAGTGAACCCACTGGGTATCAACTATGAAGGTCAAATGCACCTGCCATCTTCCTTATATTTGCCAAGTGCTCACGATGGGTCTCGTGATGAAGGGGAAACCGAGGCAGCCCACAGAAGTCAGAGTGAGGACACAGATCACTCCAGATTGAGGCAGAGGCAGGCAAAGAACACTTACGTCGGAGGATCTCCCGTTGCTTCCTGACGTACCAGGTATACAGGGCGGCACGCTTCTGGGTCTTCATAGGGGTGCCCTTGTTGAGGTGCTGAGAGAGGTGTGATTGGTTCAGACCGGTGACRTCAACCACTTCCCTCTGGGGGATGTTGTGTTGCTGCATGTAGCCTTTGATCATTTTGGCAGCCCTCCAAGGGTCCTCACTAGACAGAGAAGCAGATGGTGAGGGTGCTGGTGGGAGATGTTTGGGGAGAAATATGCTCTTGCTAGGGCTCTACSTATACTCTATACAAAACCGATCTTCATGGCCTTCTCCACCTGTTCAAGCTACAACCTTGAGAGAGGTGTGAGGTTAAAGTCAAATCTAATCAGAAGAGGAGCTACAGGCCCCTGAACAGTAAGGACACTCTTTTCCTTCTGATGTCAGCAGAGAACAGATGACTGCTCATTTTCAGGAATGGGCAAGGACCATCAGCACTCTCTCTCATGAAGCAGAAAGCAAATCCATGTTTTATTGTGCTTTCTCTCATTTTCCTGTAATTCAAGAGACTTAAAAAGTGAGAGGCCCACTAGGAAGCTTGAGATGGGGCGGGCTGATCCTACAAGGATAGGAGATCATGTCAGTTTCTAAATTCACTTAATTTCTGTCTAAACCTCCCTTGCACAGATTTCCTTCTAGAAGTCGGTCTTGGTCTCTTATGAAATAGGCGTGGATTGTATGGGTCCAGCTCCTGAGAAGCCAGGAGGACTTCTTAGCCAAATATCAAATAACTTCCAGTGTTTTGGAAAAATTTTCACAAAATAACATGATTGAAGAATCACACCACTTGCAAGGCAAGTAAAGTTAAAAAAAAAAATTATCCACAGCTGCACTTCCCAAATAAAACTTAATGGGGAGGAATGATTTCAATTTTGGAGTAAAACATTAATGATCCCAAGTGCCTTGCTTTCCTGTATTTTTACATTTCTCTTCTGAGAGGGAAAGGGAACCTGGAAGGTAATGTTTCTTACAAATTTCAAGCATGAGCTAATAATGTAGTCATACATTTCATTTCTCATAAACATAAGTGTGCAAAAAACTCGTATTTGACTTTGAGGTTTATTTATTTAAAATATTTTCAACTTTTCTAATATATTTTCTTGTTTATTGAATAGAAGATGTAAAAAGAGAAGATAATGCAGAGTACAGAATAAAATTATTCAAGAAGCAACTAATTCACATAGGTAATTTTAAAAAAAGCAGCTACACAGTTAACTTAAAAATTCCTTTAGTATATGTTGATTTTATATATATATATATATATATATATATATATATATATATATACACACACACACACACATATATACACACATATCCTTTTGAGAGGACGTAAAAATAAAGGGGAAAATTACTTTCAGATGAATCTATAAAAATAGGAATTAAAGCAGAGGCCAAAATAGATACCCTACTGTAATGCATAATCATTTATTTCTAATTGGTGCCTCTATGTCAAATAAATCTTGTTTAATGAATTAAAAGATCTCCAGTAATCAAACGGAGATATTTTATAAGCATTTGCATAGTTATGATTATTTTAGCAAGACCTTGATATTAAATATATGAGAATCCAGGCTTTGAAAGAGATGTTTCTGAGAAATGCAAACTTTCAGATTAATTATATATTAGTTAATAACGAATTTCTCAAGTATTTACAAAAGAATTTCCAAAGACTACAACATAATGAAGAAACAAGAACAAAAACAAATAAAATGAGTTCCAGTTTCAAACGTGGAGAATTCACTTCGAGTAAGAGAAAAACAAGGTAATAAGCAAAATTTTGGACATTCATGTAAACATCAGAGATCACTTAAAAACTTATTTCTGGCGGATATTTCCACAGATATTTTTAGGGTGGAAAACACTTTCAGCAGATGGGAACAATAGCTTCAAAACTTAAGGGAAAAAATATTTGGGTTTTAAAAGTTAATACTGTATCGCTTTAACAGATTCTTTTGGCTGTTTTCCTTTTGTTTAAATTTCTTTACCTGTGCTCATTTTTGCGTGCCTAAGAAATCCATCGAAATAGCCTAACGTTCTACCAAGTGCGAATGTTTCTGTGAAAAGAGGGAATTAGCTCAACGATCKAGATGATTAGATAAATAATAATATTTCAAAGCTCACAATAAACCTCATAAACTGAGGCCCAACCTTTAAGCACGAATTAAAAGACTAGAGTTGGGGGGTAAGATGGCGTAGTTATTATACCTTTATACCTCTCTGAGCCGAGAATTCACGTGCATTCCCTGGGAAGAGCTCAGAGAGCTGGTTACTTTTTTATTATTATTACTGTTTGAAAAATCGAGCTCACTTTCAGGTGTTCCGCACCCGGATAAAGGCTCTGTTCCCTAGGAGCGCTCGCTCGCAGCCATTGTGTTCCAAGCGCAGGTGTCAAACGCCGGACTCGGCGCCCGCATTGTCCGCGCGACACACTTCTCAAACAATGACTTTGTTGCCCAGGAGCAGAAAAGACCTGGAGGGCCCCACTCCTGGTCGCCAAGCTTTCGTGAAGAAGCCGCGACTCCATTTCCTAGCCAGCACCCGATTTCCCTAACGCAGCCCGCTCGGCTGGGACCCGGGGACGCGGGAAGCGCGCAGTCCCCCACCTTTCCTTTCTGGCCCATCTCCTTTGTGGAGCGTCCAAGCTCCCCAAGCATCCAACCGCTCCCCCAAAGTGATCTTTTCTTTTCCTTCTTTTTTTTCCCCCGCCTTAGATAACAGGGTGGGAGGAAACATGCATTCGCCTGGCGCTCTGGAGCCAACTCTGCAATCACCTGGGAACCGCTAGCAATTTCTTGAAAAATTGCTTTAATAAAGTCGGCCACTCCCGGGGGCGGTGGAGAGAAGGCAGCGCTCGCCTGGGAAAGGGAGGCCAGCCTCGGGGTCTGTCCTGCGTCCCTACCTCAGCGAGAATCTCGGCCTCCCTAGCCCTCCTCCCCAACCCACTTTGGGGAGGAAAGCGGGCTGAGTCCCAAGACCCCGGGACCGGGCCTTGGCTCGCGGTCGGCCGGGCCCTGCGGGTGTCCGCGGCCTTGGAGTTCCGCGGRCTGCTGCAGAGATCAAGCCGCGCTGCTGCGGCGGGCGCTGGGGCGGCGCCGAGGCCTGGGGGGACGCGCCCCGCAGCGCTGTGCGTGTGTCCGAGGGAGCAAGCCCGCGTCGGCGTTTTTATTTCCTTCCCTTTCTAAGCCGCGTTTACAACTTCACCAATGAATAACCCGCCTCTCGTTTCAACCTAATCACGGCTCTTTGTGTATCTTTCTGTTGATGATTTATAGAAATAAATTAATAACACCCCAACTCCACGTGCTACAGTTTATGTTACATCTCAGCCGCGTCCAGCCCCAAAAGAGACCGCGTGCGGAGGGGCGCCCCAGTTCTCCTCTGGTTTCCCCTTTTCCTCCCGGAGCCACGATTAGCAGCGGCSGCCTGAGGCCGGGCACAAACGGCCTAGGCCGGGATGGCAGGCGGCGGCAGCCCGGTTGGTCCACCAGGCCCTAAACACCTTCTGATCGCTCTGGAGCCCCAGACTCTCTCCAAGGGTCTCCTCYTTCGACCCGACTCAGCCTTCTAGACTCCACACCTTCCTGCTCCCTAACCCGGGTCGGGGAGAAATCACCACCAAGCGGGGGAAAAGGCGAGGGAAGAACCTCCAGTCTACAAATTATAGCAAAAAACACTTTTTTTTTTTTTTTTTTGGAGGGGGATCTGGAAGTCCCCTGGATAGCCTTGGCCAGAGGGCAAGTCGCCGGATTCTCAGAGCACAAATTCAAATGCAAGTTCATATCCCACCCCAAACTGGCGTTGCGGGAGTGCGACCGAGGCCGATGGAGTCCGGCGCGATTTCTGCACTGGCCCCTGAAACCTTGGAACCCGCCGTGGCGGTTAAGTGTCTGAGGCCAAGCAAGGGGTTCCTTCCTAAAGCTGAGTGGCCCGGGAGCGACGTGCAATCTAAGGGAACCGCTTGGCTCCTTGGATAATTAGTAACTAGCTGTCAAAGCGTAGGCCGGTTGGGGAAGACCAGCAAACGACCCCGGGCCTCCGGAGAGACCTCCAACCTGCCTGACTTCTCCTAGGGGCAGAACTGGTGGCGAGAAGTGTGCAAGCCCTGCTTTCTCAGATTGAGACCAAATCTTTGTGAAAGGGGTCTTATCCGAATTTACCCCACCCCATCTCGGCTTGCTTAGATTTGTGGTTTCTTATGCCCCGTGCGGGTCCACTCTCACTCTACAAGCAAAAGTTCCCCTTTACAAATCTAAACAGGCGTGGGGATTCGAGAAAATCCCGACCCTTGCATAGTTGCTGTGGAGGGGACTGCCCACCAGAGAGCTGGCCTCCCAGATCCTAGTTCCAGTGCTGCCAGTCCCTTGGCAAAGAATGGCAGATCGCTGCTCTTCCAGAGGCCCGCCTGGCCGAGCCGGGAAAAATGAGTGGCCTGAAGTTTGTGGGGTCGCAAGCCTCGGCTCCTGGGAAAATCACTGCATCTACCTGCACCTTCAGTTTCAGGGTCAAACCTCCAGTCAAAAGGTTTCATACCTTGGGTTCTTTCAGGCCGAGTCCCAGTCCCACTGGGAAGGCCCATGGGTCTTTCCACTCTAGCCTGGGGGCCAAGAGAGATGAAGCCTTTGGCCCTAGGGTCACCTGGCTAAGGGACTGGGAAGGGTCCAGGTGTTGGAAGAGAAGCAGAGCATCCCGGGGTGGGAGCGGTTTCTCTGGTAGAAAACCGACCGAGAGAGTGGTCGACCCAGGCTCCTTCAAAACCAGGAGCAGGGGACGCCGGGGACGCCGGCAGGTACTCTGCACCTAGCATGCTGCCTACCTGAGCATTCGGTCCACCTCCGCCCGCTGCTCCGCTGCTTCCTCGGTGTTGAGAGCCTGCAGCTCCTTAAGGATGGGAGGGGTGTCATAGTCGTCACCGTCTTCGGAGCCCTCGTCCCCGGACAAGCGGCCCTTGGTGTGACCGTTGGTGAGGGTATGGAAGACCGGCTTGGTGTCGGGATCTGTCCCGCTTCCAGGCGACAGGGGCAACGTCTCCAGTTTCACCCCAAAGCTCGGAGATGGCAGCAACTCCTCCAAGGCCTGGATCAGCACCTCCTTGGTGACCCCGGAGCTCAGCAGGGCGTTCAGGAGTTCTTGCTGGAGCGATGTGAGCTTGGACACCATTTTCCAAGGACGGAAAAGAAGGGGGTTAGGGGGTGGGTGGGTGCAAGTGAGGAGGGTGGAGGGGAGTTCCACCAGCAAGCCCCAAGTTCTGGAACCCCTCCACCCTTCAGCCTCCAGACACCTGTTACTCCCCCGGGTCCGGGAGTCTCCTCTGAGAGGAGTCAGAAAACTTCTAACTTGCCATGATCGCCACCATTAGGCCATATAAGATATGCAAATTAGTGGGAAGGGCCCAGCTTTCGGCAAGATGCAAATGGTGGTGGGGAGGGGGGGAACCGAGAGAGAGGAAGAGACTCAGGGGCAGTCGTGGGGAGCCGGAGACCTGGACCAGGAGCTCGGTTTGCCAGAGCCCATTGTACTCACGCTGGGGGTCTGAAGACCTTCTTTTACTGGTTCTGTTTATCAGCCAGACTTTAGTTGACCTTTGGACTTGTTAAACAAGTGGCCTGMAACCTAGGCGCGGGGGCTTTTCCACAGGCGGCAGGCTCGGCTTCAGCCCAGAAAGAAGAAATTGAGCTTCGGGGGTTTCAGGTGAGAGCTGGATAAAGTTGGGGGACCCTTGGAAGAAGTGGATGGAGAGGATGCGAAGAGTACACAGCCTCCGCGATCTCTGGTGGTTTACCAGGAGAGCCAGCTGGTGGAGGAGGAACCGACCCCTTGGGAATGGGCGCAGAGACCCGGGAAGTGGAGTGGCGTTGGGTCGGAGGAGCGTGCCCCGGAGAGACMCCATTTATTTCTACCTCTGTTACTGCTCTCCAGGCCCCAGGCCCTCACCGGCCGGGTTTGGCCGTTTGGATTTGTAGGACTGCRGGCCAGGACAACGTAGGGAAGGGGTGAAGGAAGCCCGGAGGAGGCTTGGAAAGCGGCACGGACTAATTTATGGCTAAGAGGGAGTAGCCAAAATGGAGCTTCCCCAGCAGCAGGCGCCCAGCCTGGTCAGGCCTCGGGGGAGCTGGATGCGTGGGTGGTGCTGTCTGTTTAAAAGCGAAATATCAAAGTGCCTCGGCTTTGGAGGCAAAACTAGAACTGTGGGGAYTCCTTTCTAGTAGTGAAAGCAAAGCTCGGCCTGCCGCTGGATGGACAGATGGAGCAGCGTTTTCTCCCCATCCACTCATCTCTGGTTTGTTCTGTTCCAGGACAACCTCGGTGCCCGGGGCCAGAGACTCTCTCTGCAAATACAAGGTCATTGTGGCAGCATGCCAAGTAGAGAAGGCACCCACAAGCCACTGAAAGAAGTTTTTTTCCACCCAGGCCTGGCCAGGAAGGAAGCCAACGGCCTTTCATTATTACAGGAGTTTCTGCCACATCTCCCTGAAAGGCAGAGGGGGGAAAAGAGGGCCAAAGTAAGGGCTCCCAATCCTACAGGCTGGGACCTGACTTGCAGAAGAATAGGGGAGGGGCTTCTCATAATCCCACCTACTCTGGGGTAGAGGACACCCTTCCCCTCTTTGAGCTTCAGTTTCCTGTGTGTGAAAAGGGATACCAATAGCTAAGGTGCAGGGCAACTGTACCATTGAATGAGACCACCTGTGTAAACCCTTGGTCTAACAATGGTGCTCACACTTTCCTGACTGGGAAGGCAGGAGGCCTGTTCCCAGTAGTAAAATCTAGCCCTTCTGGAAGCTTAGAATTCTCAGAATCAGGGACTTGCAGTGCTGGGTTTGGAGCAGCAAGGACATTAGGGACAAAAATTCAGAATCAGCAAGAAATTTGCAGAGGAACTTCTACATACAGTCTCCTACCTCTCCCTCCTTTGAAGACAAGTAGGAGGAAATTAGGGTTAAGGTTAGGGATAGAGAAGAATTTCAGGATGAGGGGAAGGGTCCACCCGCTTTCATCTGCTAGGTACAGGCTTAGATCTGGGAAGGCTGGTGATGTGAGTGACCAAGGACAAGCTACTAGGGAACTAGGATGCCACTTTCAAACACAGGCTGGGCTACAGGTGCTTGGGTTTCTGTACTGGGAGTCAGAAAGAAGAGAAAAGCTTGTATACATGGAGCCCTGCAGAAGGTTTATCCCTATCTCTGACCTTTCCCTGAGAAAGGGGTAAGAAATTTATAGACATAAGGGCCTTTCATGTCACCTCCTTGTCTTCTAGTTTGTTGTGACATATGGCATATTCTTAAAATTCTTTCCACCCAGTAAAACTTTCTCTGCCTCCTCAACTCCCTTTAAGCGGGATAATGAAGTGGTCAAAGTAAATGTCCTTGGAGAGCAATCGTTTTTTTCTGTTTGTCACAATCATGACAGAATCATCAAGTTTTTGTGTTAACCTGGGAAACCCCATTGAAAAGCCAGTCATCACTTCCCTTTGACAGCACAGCTTTGTATTTCCAACTGCTGTGTGCTCCATCAGACTGCCAGCCAGGCCTCCTTCTCTCTCAAAATTCAGGTGCCTGCAAACCCGAACCCCAGTCACCTTAGCTGGATGCACAGGAAGTTGCACACAGAGTACAGGGAGAACTTCCAGGTCTGTCTTCCAGGTAATCTGGCTACTCATATCCAGCAACTTCCCGCAGTCCTCTTGCCTACATCCACCTTGTATATGCCCCTTGGTGCAGTGTAGGTGCTCACCAAGGCATCACGACCAGAGATTTGTGAAGATTCAATACCTATCCCTTCCTATGGAGATTTAAAAAGAAAAGTATAAATAGGACAGCAAATAGTTCTTCAGGATTCAGGTTGTAGGTGCTAATTAAATGAGCTATCTCCTGAAACCCTTCAGTGAAACTTCCCTCCTATAGAGGAAGACACAGTATGATTTGAATAATCTCTGCTTATGTTTCACATGGTATAAAGTAGTGATAGACTCAGATAATGACTCCAAAATAAGACATGGGAGAGTCTAAGGAGGTTGCTTGTAGCCCTGGAGTAAGTTCGTGGAAGGGCTGGGACTGGGGCTYAGGACTTCAGTGCAGGACTTTAGGGTGAAAGAGGAGGGTCTATGGCTTTCATTGTTTTGGAAGATGGAAAGTTGAAAGGGAGATTCTATGGGAGTGAGGTGGAGGATACACAGAAAGAACTTTGGAGTCAAAGAGACCTACACATGCAAAAGGATAATGATTCTGTATTATGTTTTTCTTTTTTTATTATTTTTTTTAAGAGAGTGAGAGGAGAGAGAGAGAGAAAGAGAGAATTTTTAATATTTATTTATTTTTTTTAGTTCTCGGCGGACACAACATCTTTGTTGGTATGTGGTGCTGAGGATCGAACCCGGGCCGTACACATGCCAAGCGAGCGCGCTACCACTTGAGCCACATCCCCAGCCCTGTATTATGTTTTTCAATATGCCTTTATTTTATTTATTTATTTATATGTGGTGCTGAGGATCGAACCCAGCGCCTCGAACTGCTGAGCCACAACCCCAGCCCTGTGTTGTGTTTTTTTTTAAGATGAAATGAATTAACAACTGCATGCTCCTGGATTATGGCAGGCTTTCACATATTCAGAAAAAAGAGATATACCATGAAGACATGCTAAGTGAGGCAACTGACCTCTTTGGTTCCAGATTTCTTTCTTTTTTTCTTTTTGTTTGTTTTTGGTACTAGGGATTGAACCCAGAGATTATTAACTTCTGAGCCACATCCCCATCCCTTTTTAATTTTGGGGTCTTGCTTGCTTGCTTAGGGCTTTGCTAAGTTACTAAGGCTGGCCTTGAACTTGCAATCATCCTGYCTCAGYCTTCCAAGTTGCTGGGATTTCAGCACGGTGTGCCACTGTGCCATGCCTCCCAGATTGTTTTTTTAAGAGTTACCGAATTTAGAGGAACCATATGAGGTTCTTTTACCAAATAATAAATTTGTAGTTCAAATTCCAAGGTTTTCTATGGGAGATGGAATTCCTAGTGTAAAATAATTTAAAATCTAGTTAGTGGGTTATTCTATGAAATTTTTGACTAAATGAACAGGTGATTGTCTCTGAATGATCCTGCTAAGGATGACTTTTATTCCTTATTTATTCAGATTTTTCCCAACTGTCAGCAAGGAAATTATAGTCTAGAAATAACTTTCCCAGACACAAAAGTGTCTATGCTTCGTGATTCCATTTATATGAATTTAAAAAGTAGGAACATTAACCCATAGAGGTAGAAGTTTCTGGGGTGATACAAAGATTCTGTGTGTGTGTGTGTGTGTGTGTGTGTGTGTTAATATTTATTTTTTAGTTTTTGAGGTGAACACAACATCTTTATTTTATTTGTATGTGGTACTGAGAATTGAACCCAGTGCTTCACATGTGCTAGGCAAGTGCTCTACCACTTGAGCCACAACCTCAGCCCAAGATTCTGTGTTTTGATCAGGATGGTGGATACATCATCAGGTTACACCTGCAGGATTTGTGCATATTACCATTATGTATGTTTGCAATATGTAAATTATAACTCAGTAAAAAAATAAAACCAATTTCAAAGTATAAAGTGTAAACAGTGGAAGTCACCTCCTTATCCCCTTCAAGTGTTTACAGGTAATGTGTGGCCCCTCCAGGATCTCTTCTGTTCACCAAGTATAGTCCCTCACCTTTAAAATATATAGACAAATATATTCTAGGAGTGGGCAAACTTTTTCCATAAAGGAATAAATAGTAAATATTTTAGGTTTTGTGAGCCATGCAATCTTTGTCACAACTACTGAACCCTGCTGCTATAGACAATACAAASAAGAATATGTGCGACTATGTTCTAATAAAACTKTATTTGAAAAAAAATATTTGGCTGGCTGGATTTGACCCATGGACCACAGTTCATCAACTCATGCAGGTCAAAATCTGTTGAGCTGAAAGCAACCTTAGAAGTCATCTCACTTGAATTCTTCATGATGAGGAAGCAGATTTCTCATTTGGAAGGAGAAATTACTTTCTCAAGAAATATGACCTGGAGCCCAGCATGGTGACACATGCTTGTAATCTCAGTGACTCTGGAGGAGGCAAAGGAGGCAGGACGATCATGAGTTCGGCCCTAAGCAACTTGGCGAGACCTTGTCTCCTCTAGAAAAATATAGAAAAGGGGGCTGGGGATGTGGCTCAAGCAGTAGCGCGCTCGTCTGGCATGCGTGTGGCCCGGGTTCGATCCTCAGCACCACATACCAACAAAGATGTTGTGTCCGCCGAGAACTAAAAAATAAATATTAAAAAAAAAATTCTCTCTCTCTCTCTCTCTCTCTCTCTCTCTCTCT